AATGTCAGTATACACATAAAAGGTAAAGAGCTTCTAGCGGATTCAAACGTTATAAAAAGTATATGTGGCTATGTTACTCATTTTCCTATACATTACAATTTGAAGTAAGAACTTTAGTCTAAAGTGCGTAGCTCAAAACCAAAAAGAAATAAATCCAGAGAAAAAAAGATGTATCTGAATACATATACACATGCGTATACACCTACTTACAAAGGTATATTGAATATCATATATATATATATATATATATATATATATATATATATATATATATATATATATATATATATATATATATATATATATATATATATATTTAGGTGAGGGCTTGGGGGGGCGCACCGGGTGACACCCGACCTTATTACGCCACTAATGGTAATGATGGCTGCCGAAAGCGACTATACCGTACTTTCCTTTTTTAACAATTTTTCATGGTCATTTTAGAATTATATACTTATAATTGCTAGTTTTACGCATTGTTCATTGATACAGATCTATTTTTAACAATGGACGATTATTTTTTTTAATGCAAACTTACCATTTGTACATATTGTAAATGTCTAATCGCTTAGAATATCGAGCAGAACATAATAAAAGTAAGCGAACTTGAATTGCTTTATTTTATTTAATATTGTTGTAAACATTCTCAAAAATACTGTAAACTATAGAAAATTATGTATTGCTTCTTGCTAAAAAATTACATTATTTTCTTTTAAATCAAAACAAAATCTTTTTAAAAATAGCTTGACCAAAACAACAGCAAAATGAGACCGCCCAGTTTGCCCACCGAGTATTTGAATGGGAAGAAATGTAGCAGACGACACATTTCTGCTGAACGGCAATAAACTGTCAATCGTGTCACAACAACACTCCTTAAAAACTCACCCGCCGTATCACTGAGTATTAGTCACATCATCGTAGCCATTCAAAAACAAGCGCGTTTTTCACAAATCATTTTCTAGGCTACCGATTGAATTTGATAATTTAAATTGGTATCAAATTAAAGGTAAATAAATGTAGTTGTAACTGTTTAAGTCATCTTGAAAAATAATGAAGTTTAAAATCTTAGGCTACACCCTTGTTAGGATAACACACATTTTATTATCTCCCGTCTTTCTAATTGTTTTTGTAAAGATGAGTTATTTGATTGAGGACTAAACCGCACTGTTTGATTTGCTTGTGATAACTCTGTAGTTAACTAAAGTTATTCACATTTTACAGGTTAATTCCCCTACAACGAAAAATAGGGAATTACTATACTTGATTATATTCTGGTTAATTTTGTCAGATTACATCATATTGCAGACTGCCCGCAATGGCAATGCAGACTTTAGGTGTAATGCTTTGTAACTTCGCGGAATTAAATGAGAAGCGAGTTCCAAGATTGACATTTTAAAGTGGTTTTAATATGTGTAACTATATTATTTTTTTCGGTTATATAAAACGGTTTGAATAGTATGTGTTGTATTGTTTTTATTCTTTCAGTTATTTTCTTTGATGTGGATCTGGACATGCAAAGTATATGTTTAACTAAAAGGTCCAAAACAAAATCACTATTTTATTTTATTTATAAAATTCATACATGTATGACTACCAAGGATATATGTATATATATATATATATATATATATATATATATATATATATATATATATATATATATATATATATATATATATAATATATAATATATATATTATATATATATATATATATATATATATATATATATATATATATATATATATATATATATATATATATATATATATATATATATATAGGCATGTATGTATGGCTTATATATAAATTGTACTAAAATGTACTGTTTAAACTACACAAATGTGTAAATGTGTAAATATGATTTTCAGTTTTGAATTACTAAACACTACTAGTAATAAATATATCCACGTTATGTGTTAACATTTTGTTCACCAACCAGCTTTAAATAATGTCTGTACTGTTGTTTTTAGTAATAAAATCAATCACTTTTCAAGCAATTTCTGCGTGTGCCATGGTATTTTAAATGAAGCACATCATAAACTTAAAACTAAAATAAAACAAGTAGAGCTGACCATTTGTCGAGAGTGTCGTCATTGACTTGGCAGTTATCCTTTTGCTGTCTTTGCCAATTTGCTAACTTATGCACACAAGAATACAGTAGAATTATAAATGCTTCTTTCATATAATTATACAGGTATTTCGTGTTTATGTATAAAAAAATATATTACAATTTAAGTTTAATTGCTAGGCTCGGTTAAATTACTTAAGCTTTGTAAAAGTATAGATATATATTACTTATTCCTTTTAACATGAGCTTTTTGCAATATCTAACTCAACAAGTTTCTTTAATTCTATTTACATGTACGCTTCTAGAAATCCTATTCTATTTTAAATTATATGTAATTAATTTGAAATAAAAAAGTAAATTTATAACCACAAAGTAAACGTAATAAAATTCCAGATTATTTGGGATATGTTTGTTGGGAGTTTCTTAAAGTCTAGTATGTTGTATTATTGAAACCCTGTCGTCTAGATTAGCTTTACACAAATCCAAATGTCGTAAATTTAAATAGAAGCACTGGGGGAGGGGGGCAAACTATGACAGCATTTAGGAATAAATTTTTTTTGCGTTTTTTTTTTTTCACTTATATAGGTTTCTAGGGGCTCGTGGCTTCTATAAAAACGGTCGCTACCCCGATAAGGTTAATAACCTGTATTCTAGTCAGTATCTCCAGAGGTAAAGAATAACCATTTAGAATTTACACTAGAGAAAGTAAATCATGCAATGAACAAGTATTCACCTTGAAACAAATACTAGAGAAATTTTATGAATGAAACAGATCCCTGAATATATATTTCTTTCATCTTAAAAATGGTTTTCATATAATAGACAGAAGTAACCTTACGATTTTCCAAAGACAGGCATCAATGCTATCAATGTCGTATATAACGGTTGCCAATGCAGGTGTATGTACTGTGTTATGGACATTTATCGTCTGGCAGATAAAGCAAGCTACAGTTCATAACATTAGGCATCAGACGGATGCAAACAACTTTCTGAGAAAATCTTGATTTAACAGACGACATGTTTGGGATATATTTGCTTGGTAATTTAACACCATCTAGTATATTATTGAAACAATGTCATCTAGATTAGCTTCACACAAATAAGAAAGTCGTGAATTAAAAAATGGGAGCATTAAGAAGCGAACCATGGCAGTAGTCAGGAATCAGTTGGGTATTTTTTTTTGCGTTTTTCACTTTATAGTTGTCTGGGGTTACTTAGCTTTTATAAAAAAAATGGTCGCCACCCCGAAAAGGTTGATAGCCTGTATTCTAGTCAGTATCTTCATAGAAGGAGAATACACATTTTGAAATTATAAATTTTAAGTTTTGATAATGTAAATCACGCAGACCAAGCATTCAAATTAAAACAAATACTAGAGAAATTTTATGAATGAAACAGACCCCAGAAAATATTATTCATATATTTTGAAAAGTGTTTTGATAGCATTGACAAACGTAACCACTGTATCCAAAGATAGGAACCAATGCCATTGATGTGATATATAAAGATTTCCAAAACAAACGTGTGTGGTAACCATATGATTAAATCATATATATATATATATACATATATATATATATATATATATATATATATATATATATATATATATATATATATATATATATATATATATATATATATATATATATATATATATATATATATGCTTGTATGTGTATGTAAATTGAAAGAAAAAAGTAAACCAATGCTAGTGAAAAATGTTATTATTCTAAGATAGAAAAAAAAATGTCAACTGATAGGAATTTAGCAAAATAATTTATACACGCTTAGCGTTGGTTATATGTGTCTCGGTAATATCTAAGCAACTGATGTTTGGATATCCGCATAAACATACGAAAAATAAACTAGTCTAAATCCACCAGGAAACAAAGAAAGGACTAGATCTATTTGGCACATGCAATTAGAAGAGGCAAAAAAAAAGACTTTTAGAAAAGTTCTTTAATAGAACAAAGAATATCACAAACCACCCTAATTGAAACAATCTTGAATATTTACAGGATATATTTTATATTATATTTTAATATATGAACCAAGTTGCGTTATCTAGCAAAAGCTCAATTAATCTAGCGATGCTTTTGTACTAACCTATCTGTCTCTTTAAATATTCAAAATAGGTTTCTTTATACCTTTTAAAAACGTGTGGACTAACTTGCCATTTGAAGTAAAACACGTTTTTCTACCCTGTTTTATTAAGATTTAGTGTTGTATTTCCTGAAACTAAGTGATCAACCGACTGGTGTGCCAGAAACAAAATATCTATTTAAATAACATCAATTTATGTAAAAAGTTTCCGAGCAGAAAGCAACAACAGCTGATGAGTGGCGGGTCATTTTGAAGTTTTATCATGGGGAATAACTCAAATTTTGTAACTTTTGTTTAGTAAATAAAATGGCTTGTCATATTAGAACGGCAAGAAATTTTCCCATTGATCGCTTGGATTAGCCTGTAATGCTGGTTGTCTGAATGACTGCGAGTGAGAACTAATTCAAAGTATTATTTTATGGTGCACTTCCAAAACGGCTCGGGACAAATTGGCCCCGTCAAAACGGCCCCGTTAATATGACGCCGTCAAATCGACCCCCGACAAACCGACTACGTCAAAATAGCCCCGTCAAACGGCCCCGACTTATTGGCTCCCGTCAAATGGCTGCCCTCATAATGACTCGCGATAAATAGGCTCCCGACAAATGGGCTCCCGATATTTACGCTCCCGACAAATGGACTCCCGATATATTGGCCCCCGACAAATAAGCATAGGACATAAGGGCTCACGACATATTGGCTACCGACAAAAAGGCTCCCGATATATTGACTTCCGACGACTATATATAAAAACGAATTAAACTTTTGCATTAAATCTTATACTGTTTTTAAACAAACAAAAAAAAACTCATTCAACTTTTGGACACGGACTTTATTTTTCAATACAATTAACAAAGTTAAAATTTATTACTTCAGCAATTTGAATTAATTTACAAGCTTCCAAAATATGCGCGTCTTTTTAAACATCGAATTTGACGTGTCTCCATCTACGTTTTCGACTAGCTTTATTTATTGCCTTGGGTTGACCCAGCAGTAGAAATTCCCTACGCTGGCGCAGTATGCGTTTGGTGTTGGTATGTCTACGTTAACGAAGTAAGGGACGCCAGTGAAGTGATACTCGATTTCCATACAGGTTCTGTTATTCGCCGGCAAGGCTACGTTATATATTGTTAAATTAGCGAAAGTCACTCGCATGTTACGTGCAACAGGCTCACAACAGGCACAAACTTGTAAGGTAGAGATTCCTCTCCAGGCCAACGGGGGACCATAAATTTGACAGCCATTTTGTCCAAGCATCAGATCTCTCCTGTATCCAAAATCATTATCATTTGGGTTATAAAAGCCGACCACATGATATTCTGAAATAAAAGCAGTATTACAACATACTTTATATCATTACTGACATAACGGACGATTTTCTTACAATTGTATGGCATCAGTATTACAACCTTTATTTGACTTTAGTGGTCGCATATTAGGGCTTACTAGACTACGCGTCATTCGTTAGATAACTGTGTAAGCCCTGCTGGGGGAGGGGGGATGCCTAGACTATCTACCCTTCCCTAGGCTTAACTAATAACTAATCTGTCCGGTCAGTGCAACAGTGGTAAAACCCACAGTGGTTAACCCTAACCTTAGTCTACGCTAAAAATTAAAAAAAATTAAAAACTTGTATCAATTTAATAACATTTATTTAACAAAAAAATGGAACCAAAACTTATGTAAAAAAACTAAACAAAACAAAACACTCAAGACATACAAAACAAAACAGAACTCAACGGAACAAAACACCCAATTTAGGACCACCGTCCATACACTACACAAATACGACACAAACATTTCAACACACAGGCCTCGACATTCCCACAGAATGTCCCTCCCTGTCCACACACTACATTCATGAACTAAAACCATTACTACACACAAGAAAATAGTCCCTAATACAACAATAACTAACATTCAGGACATAAAGCAAAGTGGAGCCACAATCTAAAACAAGTTTGCATAAATAACATCAGAACATAAACAAGACAAAGCAATTATAAACCATTTGAAAATTCTAATCATATAAGCGTCAGAATAGCGGACTACTTAACTAGAAACCACAACAATCCTCAAATATACACAAAAAGTGACATTCACCTTTTTGTAATAAAATAATAATTAAATAACTCCCCAGCTCCTTACATATGGGTTTCGGGGTCATCCATACATGACATCACGTCTGTCACTTATCGTTACAAAAAAAGCCAGACCCACATTTAAAAAGACGTCACATCTCAGACGTTGTCTTTTAAAAACATCAATTTCGGCTGACAATGGGTCTGACCATACCATCTCTTCATATGCTAAGGTCACAAAAACAGGTCAACTCTACTTCACTAGCCCAGTGTCCCCCTAAGTCAGGCAGGTTTTCTCTTTTGAAACACCGATTTCGCCTGAGCATGGGTCTGACCACACTATCCCTTCATATGCTGACATCACAGGTAAACTCTACGACTGCCCAACTCTACTTTACCTGCGCAGTGTCCCGAAAAGTCTCAGACAACATTTTCTTATCGTTTTAAAAAAAGATTTCGGTCGAGCATGGCTCTGACCACACTATCCTTTCATATGCTGACCACACAGAAATAGATAAACTCTACTTCACCTGCCCTGTGTTCCGCAAAGTCACTACAGGAATCTTTTTTTATTAACATTTTTAAAAATCGGGAGTGGTATCCCCTAAACTTTCTCGAATATTCTTATATAAAACAACAGGGGATGGGAACTCTGGTTATAGATCTAGATATGATTTTTAATCCATTTTAAATACTTAAACTTTTTTAAATAGAATAAAATCTCGTAGAAAAAAGAATTGCACACCAAGTGAACGCCAAATAAAAAAAAGTGCATAATAGTGCGCAATATTATAAGTACTTTATAAATTTACATATTAGTTTTTTTTAGAAATAGCGTAAATAAGTACTTCCGGTCAACGTAAATCACTCAAAATTTGACAGAAGGTAGAGAATTAGATCTTTCACGTACGTATGAAATTTCATTTATCTATCTGAAACAGAACTCAAGTTATAGGCATTTAAAAAATTAAAAGTAGAAAAAGTACCCCTTCCGGTTATCGGAAAACGCTGAAAAGTTGATAAGGATCTATGATTTGGATAAAATACTTATATATGAAATTTCATCAACCTAGCTGTAACGGTACTCAAGTTATCGTGTTTACTGACACACACACACAAAGAGAGACATACGGACAAGATTGCAAAACTATGTATTTCCGATTCAGGGATGTGTAAAACGTCGAGAACTGCACGATTAAAAGAATTTCTCTATACTTCGTATATACCAGAAAGTAAAAATTAAAAAAAAAATTTTTGTCGTGATGGGTTTCAAACCCGTATAATCCGCTTGGTAACTTGCACTATCATCTTAGCTATGTGGGCACCATATCCATAGTATATTGCGCTCTTAGATATGTGAGTGCTAACAAATTAGAGAAGTCTAAGTCCTTAAATACAAAGTAATAAACTTCAGTTACGCAAATATGCCGTATTATTTCAAATTAAATTATATCCCTAATTAGCCAATTCCATAGCTAAACAATCAAAGATTTATATAAAATAATTAAAGCCTGAAATAGTTTAGTATAGAAAATCATTATTCTATTAGAAGAACTGTTGAAAATTAATAATAGTGTTGGAACCTAATAATAGTAGCAAACGGACGTATCGTTAAATCTATAGCCGACAGAAAATTAGCTTAATAATGCGTTAAACTTTTAAATGGGCAAAAAAATCTTCGATGAAAGCTGCCATTATTGTTATAAAAAGTAAATAAATCGGGAGTGATCTCCCCTAAACTTTCTCGAATATTCTTATATATCACTACGCGGGATGGCAACTCGGGATGTAGACATGATTTTTAATCCATTTTTACTTTCTCGTATGTACAAAGTAGAGAGAAAGTATTGTAATCGTACAAAAAAAAACGAGATTTTTGCAAATCTCGACGTTTTAGGGCTTAATGAGTCGGAAAAGCATAGTTTTGCAATCTTGTCCGTATGTGTGTCTGTGTGTCTATGTGTCTGTGTGTAAACATGATAACTTGACTACCGTTACAGCTAGGTTGATGAAATTTTATATATAAGTATTATATCAAAATCGTAGATTCGAAACAACTTTTGAGCGATTTCCAATAACCGGAAGTGGAACTTTTTCTACTTTGAATTTTTTAAAAGCCTATAACTAGAGTACTATTTCAGAAAGATAAATGAAATTTCACACGTAATTATAGAATCTAATTCTCTGCCTTCTGACAAATTGTGAGTAATTTCCGTCAACCGAAAGTAGTAATTTTCGCTATTTCCGAATTCTAAAAAGAAAAAACTGCATTTATAAAGTACTAATAATATCCCGCACTTTTATGCACATTTTATTTGGCGTTCACTTGGTGTGCAATTCTTTTTTTACGAGATTCTATTCTATTATTAAAAGCTTAAGTAATTAAAAATGGATTAAAAATATTGAATTGCCATCCCCCGTAGTGTTATATTAGAATATTCGAGAAAGTTTAGGGGAGAGTACTTCCGGTTTTTTAAATTAATTACTTAAACTTTTAAATTAGAATAGTATGTCATAGAAAAAAAAATTACACTCCTAGTAAACGCCCGAAAATGTGTATAATAATGCGGAATATTATTAGTACTTAATAAATTTACATTCGTTTTTTGAGAAATCGGAAATAGCGTAAATTACTACTTCCGGTCAACGGAAATTACTCAAAATTTGATAGAAGGCAGAGAAATAGATATTTTACTTACATGTAAAATTTCATTTATCTTTCTGAAATAGTACTCAACTTATGGTGAGCTTTGGTTCACGACGAATGTTTACAGATAATTTAGTTTTAAACGATTTGAAACGAAGGGGAGGTAACAATTTCTGATTGATCTTTCTTTGTATACAGCTGTTTTCACTGTCGGGAAGAGGGGTGGTGGTTTGAGGGGATAGTGTTAAATTTACAAATTATGAATTGCTAAAAAGCAGAAAATAAAACAACTAGATGGCGGCGTGTGCTACGTTGCAGGTCAGCTCGTATATAAAATTTCATCAACCTAACTGTAACGGTACTCAAGTGTTTACATACACACATACAAGCACACACATACACACACACAGACATACGGAAAAGATTGCAAAATTGTGTTTTCCGACTCAGGGAGGCGTAAAACGATTTCAATACTTTGCATTTACTCTGTATACGAGAAAGTAATAAATCATGTGGCTTCACCATAAGTAAAGTCATTATTCTAAACTTCTATAATTAAAGTGGTTAATTTACCAATTAATATAACAATAAATTAATTAACGTCTTTAAATTAATTTATGATTAACAATTTGGTCAAAAGAAACATTGTTCTCTACCTAAATACGTATATTGCAACTATACACATATTGCAGATTCTTTCCTATAACCAAACAGACCAAAAATTAATTTAAAAAAAATAAATTAAAATAAATATACAAACATGTAATCAAACTTGAGTTTTAGTAGTATACTAGACTACCCGTTATCTAGTTAGATAACTGTGGGTTTCGGGGGGTCATCCATAAATGACTTCACGTCTTCCAGCACTTTTCATCCCAAAATAACCAGACCCCACATTCAAAAAGATGTTTTTTATATTTTAAAAACTCTACTAAACTCTACTTCACCTGCCCAGTGCCCCGCCAAGTCTCAGACATGTTTGTATTTTAAAAAAAAAACGATTCCGGCCGAGCATGGCTCTGACCACACTATCACTTCATACGCTTAGAACACAGAAACTTCACCTGTCCTGTGCCCCGCGAGGTCCTGATAGTCAACCTTATCATTCACATATAGGTAAAAAGAAAAAAATAACGGAACGCATTGTTGTAAAATGAAAATAAATCATTTTACCATTACTAAATTCATTGTTCTAAACTTGTATAATTAATGTGGTTAATCTACCAATGAATATATCAATAAATTAATTAACGGCTTTAAATTAGTTTGAAATTAACAGTGTGTTTAAGAAAGAACAATATTTACCACCCAAAATCCTATTTTACAGCTCTACACATAATGCAGATTCTCCCCAATAACAAATCAGAAAAACAAACAAAAAAAATGAGTTATCAAACGTCACTATTCAGTCAAAGTTAAGCCATTGTTCTAAAACTTTAAAATTAATGTGGTTAATCTACCTATGAATAAATCAATAAATTAATTAACGTCCTTAAATAAATTTCTGATTAACAGTCTTTCTACAAACAAAAATTGTTCTCTACCTACATACTATTTTACCCCCCCCCCCATATAGAGCAGTTTCCTTACA